AACAAAAAATGACACACACACAAAATATGAACCCTCAAATTCTACATTGTTTACATAAGAGATCTCCATTGGCTTAACGGTTGGGACAGATAAAATACAATATCGCCCTCTGCTGTTCACTTTTCACTCAGAAAACGAAATAACCATATAAAAACGGACACCAAATCAGGGCTTACATAGAGCATTTGGAAAATGTGAAAAGATCAGAAAGAACCCGAGGCAGGAACATGGTAGCTACCATTGCTGACTTGTTTTTTCAAAGGTAAAAGCTCTTTGACTTTCATTCATTTCTTTACCACTTTGTGGAAGAGTGTCTTAGAGCAAAAATATGTGCATCTGGTGTCCCAACACTTTACTGGCACAATGAGGCAAGCAAGCAATAATTATCATGACATCTCAAAAACTTGCACCTTAGCAAGCTGAACTCAAGGGACAAAAGAAAACAAACATTTACCCTTGCAGTGGATCCACCACCCCACTGCAAGGGTCAACTGCCTGTTTTGTTTTGGGGGGGAAATCGGGTATTAAATAAGGTGATATACAGTACTTGCTCTATTTGTCCCTCCAGGCAGCATTCTCCTATGCAGTTTGAAGCTCCTGGGTTGTGGACAGGCCCTAGGTGGTCTCATGTATTATGTAGGACTGCTGGTCCCACATTGTATGGGATGAAAGCTGCGACCGGTCAGGCAGCAAAGAAAATGGGCTTTGGGGATTGGTCACATTAAGAGGAGGAAGTCTGTAGAAGTGAGGAATAAGGTACGAATATCACCCTATTTATCATCTCTTAATGAAAAAAAAAAAGGAGTTAACGTGATAACTAAAGTCTTGTTTACAAAAAAAGTAGCCCAGATCCTCCTCTTCTCAGGTCCTCCTGCCGGTGCTCCTGGCCCCTCCGGTGGGATACCCCTTTAGCAAGCAGCTTGCTATAGGGGCACAAGAGCTGGTGCGCTCCCGAGCCACAGCTCTGCATGTCCATTCAGAGTGTTCATTTTCCTTAATATATTGTGAAGGCAAATACGCATATGCACAAAAAACAAAATGTCAGAAATGAACTCCAAAAAAGCAGATGCTCAAACATCAGTACTGTGTGCAAGAGGCCTAATCGGGGCGGACTGACCATACGGGCACTCAGGCACTGCCCGAGGGCCTGGGCCAGTAGGGGCTCTGTCACTGCCCCGGCCACCAGGATCACTCATTGCTCTGGCTCTGCAGCCCTGAGCTTCCTTTTTTATTGTGTTGTGTCCCCAGCTGGGATGATTTGGAGATGATCCTGAGTGTGGATGGAGAATACTCCTCTTCTGAGTGCAAGTCAAGAGCATAAAAGAATATTAGACCATGGGACAGTGCACACACTGCTGATGGAGGCAGCAGATTTAACACAGCTCTAGATCCTGCCTGAGACAAGGTGAGAGTAAACTGGGGTCATAGTTGTGAGTAGCAGACATACTGAACACCTCCCTCACCCCTCCTCCCTCGCTCTCTCACAGTCCCCTCCCTCTACTTCTATCTCCCTCCCTCTCTCCCACCTCCCCCCTTCTCTCTTTCCCCCCTATCTCCCTCTCCCCCCCCCCTCCCCCCTCTCTCCCCTTTCCCTGCTCTCTCTCCCCCTTCTCCCTTTCTCCCCTCTCTCCCTCTTTCCCCCCTCCTCCCTCCCCTCTTTCCCCCCTCTCCCCCCTTCTTCTCTCTCCTCTTTTCCCCTTCTCTCTCCCCCCCCCCCCCTCTCCTCTCCCGCCCCCCATCTTCTCTTTCCCCCTTCTCTCTCCCTCTCCTCTTTCCACCCCTCTCTCTCCCTCTCCTCCCACCCCTCTCTCTCCCTCTCCTCTTTCCACCCCTCTCCCCCCCTTTCCTCTTCTTGATCTCTTTCTTCCCTTCTCTATCCTCTTTCCCCCCTCTCCCTCTCTCACAGTCCCCTCCCTCCATACCTTTCTTTCTCACCCCCCCCCCCCTTAATTCTTGCTCTTACCCCTACCATTCCGCTCTCACCCCCTCTCTCGCCTCCCGTCTTTCACATTCCCTCTCTCATCCCCCTTTCTCTCTTTCATCTCCCCCTTCCCTGCTCTCTCTCCGCCTTCTCCCTTTCTCCCCTCCCTCTCTCTCCTCTTTTCCCCCCCTCCTCACTCCCCTCTTCCCCCCCCTTCTCCCTCCCTCTCCTCTTTTCCCCTTCTCTCTTGCCCCCCCTTCCTCTCTCATACCCCCCTAACCCCCTCTCACCCCCTCTCTTCATCTTACCCCCTCCCTCTCACCCCCCCCCCCCCCTGCACCACCCTCTCTCCCCTCCCCTTTCTCCATCTCTCTCCTACTTTTCCAAACCCCCCCCCCCCCCCCATCTCTTTCTCTCTCCCTCCTGTTCCTATCTCTCCTCCCTCTACCCCACTCTTCTCAGTATAAAATGCACTCTGTCAGTAAAGTTTCCATGTAAAAAAAAAAGTTGGAGGAGTTGGCAACCTTGTCAGGAAGGAGCTGAGTGGGGCCGAATGCCCGAACAAAGCAATTAAAAAGGATTGTAAAGGCAGATTTTTTTTTTTCTTTAAAATAACATACATGTCAATTTCCTGCTCTGTACAGTAATTTTGCACAGAGCAGCCTCAATCCTCTTCTTGGGTCCCCTGCCGTGCTTCTGGCCCCTCCCTCCTGCCAAGTGCCCCCATAGCAAACTGTTTACTATGGGGGTTCCTGAGCTGCTGGTCTGTGCGTCCATTCACACACAAATGCGGATCGGCCCAGCCCCTAGCTGTAACTGACAGTAGTGGGAGCCAATGGCTCCCGCTGCTGTTTCAGCCAATGAGGAAGAGACCTGGGGCAGGCACTGCTCTCATGCATATTCCTGGATTGAGATGGAGCTCAGGTAAGTATGGGGGGGGGGGGTTGCTGCACACAGAAGGTTTTTTATTTTCATACATAAAGGTAACAAACATTTACAACCACTTTAACCCCTCAATCATCGGGAATCTTTACTGTACTACGTAGCCAGCAGGTGCTACCTACAGACCCCTGAAAACCACACCCAATTTTTGTAGCAGAGTTCTGAGTGCGCCACACCTTTTTATCTAGTATTAGGGCCCAAGTTATGATCTTGTACACAGGCTCACTGGTTTCATAAAACGCACCTGGTTGCTTCATAAAGATAGCTGCTGCACATCGTCCATCTTTATACCTGAAAGTGCCCATCAGCTTCTACAAAAGGAAGCCAGGAACTTCCATGCAGGCTATGCTATAATAACCAAATGATCAGGCTCACAGATTCCTGGAGGAATGGTTGGAAAGCCTACGGGCACCTGACAGGTTCTCAGATGGCCGCCACCTTTGAATCTGTCATGTCTTTGGTGGCTTACCAGCAATAGCAAAAGGAATCTCTGTGAGCCTGAGCTGCAAACAAGAACTTGGCATTGGCTCATCAGCTTCTGCAGTTTGCTGACGGGCCCTTCTACGCAGCTGGGATGCAATATGTGGAGGATGGCTGCCACAAATGCATGTAATGTAGACAGTGCAATATGTAGGTGGAGCTTTGTGTAGGTGTGGCTTGAGTGTGGGTGGGGACACATGGGATCCCATGATCTCCTATTGCCCAGGGGCCCCATGAGTTGTCAGTCCACCCCTGGGCCTAACTGATCAGACTCTCTGCAATTCAAAGATCATATCACAAGCAGGGTAATCAGTGTAAGAACCTTTTTCAATAGAGAAGGAGGGGGGGGGGGGGGCATCCTCATTGGGTCATTTGTACTCTCCTGTTCTGCCTGAATACCCATATCTGTTATCGATTGCAATGCTGGAAGTTTAGAGCCAGGAAGAGGACAGACAACTCTGCATTGCAGATTTCTTCAGGATTCAACTGTCTGAACGTTGTGGGACATTCTTCATTACAGGTAAGTGATGCAACTAACTTTCAACAGGGTCACACTTTATGGAAGCACCTTGCGGTTAAATATTGGCTTCCGCACAAATGTTTGCAAAAACATATAACTGAGATTTCTGGTGGCAGAGAGCTACCAGGGAGGAGAGTTTGAGCAGTGTGTATGTTAATGCGTGAGCAGGCAGATAAGCATGACTAGTGAAGTGAATATATGTGTTTTAACCATTTGCCCTCCAGAGGATTTATCCCCTTCCCGACTAGACATTTTCTGCGATACGGCACTGCATTACTTTAACTGATAATTGTGCTCTCATGCAATGCTGCACCCAAATGAAATTTATGTCCTTTTTTCCCCACAAATAGAGCTTTCTTTTGGTGTCATTTGATCAACTGTGAAATTTGTACATTTTTTGCGCTATAAACAAAATAATACCGACAATTTTGAAAAAAACACAAACAATATTTTTTACTTTTTGCTATAAAACATATCCATGTATTCTGCTGCATGTCTTCGCTAAACAAAATCCCAATCTATGGCCAGGACCCGGTGGTCGACATCTGTAGCCACCAATGGCGGCGCAGGTAGGGCGGTGTGTGCACACGTTCCCTACCCGGAGATGCAAAATCACACACATACATACATCTATATATATATATATATATATATATATATATATATATATATATATATATATACACACACACACACACATCTATATATCTATATACACACACACACACACACATCTATATATCTATATACACATCTATATATCTATATACACATCTATATATATATATATATACACATCTATATATATATATATATACACATCTATATATATATATATACACATCTATATCTATATATACATATATATATATATATATATATATATATATATATATATATATATATATATATACACATATATATATACACATATATATATATACATACACACACACACACACATATATACACACACACATACACGTAATTTTTTGCAGCTCTGCCACCCTGTAGCAGTATTTCTGCTATAGGGCGGTCGGGAATCTGTTAAGCTGGTTTATGAAGTGTAAACATTTGAATTAATTATAAAGAGCAGTATTCTATATTTATACATAGTATGATATGAACGTTTCCTACCCAGTTGATGGTTTTCAAAGGGATGAAGTAGTAGTAGTGGCAGAAATCCAGAATGAGAGTGTAACCACTAAGAAGCTGAGTGTAAAAGCAGAGCTGGAGGAACAGCCAGTGATTGTCTTCTCCAACACAATTGTTTATCCTGTAGAAAAACATGAGATAACTCCTGGAAATATATTTTATAACACACACAGTCTCATAAAAGATACTTGTGAAACCATCTATTTTAAATTCTCATAAGAAAAAATGGAGAAAAGAAAGCATTACATAAAGTAAAAAAGTATGCCAATTTAAATTTTCCTGGACTTAGGCCTTGTTTACAAGGCTGTCAAATAATGTGCAGCCACTGCATCCCAACAAACATGACTGGGACTGCCTACATACAGATGAATGGAATACCTGTGCATCTAATGCGGGAAAAACAGCCCTGCACATGGATATACACTTAGATATGCCTGCATGAACAAGGCCTTACAGGCAAATTTAGACCCCTAACCAATCACCAAGGTTTTCGACATTCCAATTAGATCTCTACATAGCATAAGAGGATTGGGAGGGGCAGATCTTCTATAAAAGAGCCCTTTCCATTGCGGCTCCAAGATAAGATTTAAAGCTGTGAGTTAATCTTACACTAGTTCTCTGGTTGCCATTGTTCCCTGCCAAGATCCAGTAGCCAGAGGCAGAAATAAATGCACTCTCCACCAAAAGTAAAATTACTAATATATTTGTATTATGTATTTTTTAGCTCTGTCACTGCCAAAACCATTTTTTGGAAACATTCTAAAATGCACTGCTTGTTTTACATGACATACATTTTCAAAATTTTCTAAAAACAAATGAAAGAAAATTAACCAGAAACAAAACATAGTAGTTGCAGTTTTTTTTTATCTTGCACAAATGTTTATCAATTTTTTTTTTTTATATAAAAATGATACCAAATAGGTCAAGACTCAAACCTTTGTGTGCCTGGAACATGGCAACAATCTACAAATACCCCAAATTATCTAACACAAGTCAAACTTTTTGAATGAAGGCCCTAGAATTATTCCTATGCATAGCACAATTGGTGTTTAAGTACACGTATGCTCCATATGTACAGGTTTGTGTGTGTATTGGTGTTGGAGGGGGCGCAGTGGATTTAAATTTATTTTGCACTTTTTCACTGTCATAAGGGGGCTGATAAGAATGCTGTGTGAGACCGCTTTTTTAGTGACAGGTATCCGTTTTGGAGAAATCCAGAGTCTTCTAGACCCCCCATGCCTTCCTGGCACTTAGGCAACTTTAAAGAACACCACATTCTCAGGTCTTTAGCTTCATCCAGCTCTCTTAGCCAGGAACGGATAGCTCTAAACCCAGATGTGCTTAGAGCTGAACGCATCCAGGTTAATACTGTACAGGAGAGATAAAGGAACATGTGTTCCTCCATCTCTCCCTGCTCTCCTTCTTAATGTGTATTTCTGCTCTCGGGCTAAACAGCATGGGCTAAACAGTCCCTTTATTGCAATGATGAAAGATATGGAGGGGTTACCATTGCTGGCTGCCTTCTGCAAATGATAGTTGCTTGGTTGTAACTCAGACTCTATCTAAATTAACGATCCAGAACAGATTTTAAACTAATGAAGGCAGTATAAGGTCAGGAAAAGTCTCACAAAAGGTTTTCTTTAAGTGCTGGTTCACATTGCTGCAAATTCTATGCAAATCAGATGTGTTCAGAAAAGCAGAGATTCACATGTAATGTCAAAAAGCATTATTTTCAATAAGGCCTGTTCACATATATGCACTGCGAATTTGATCGGTCCAAAAAAAGGTCCTGTGTGAGTTGCGTGCACATTTCATCACATGCTATGCACAGTCCCCGCTGCCTACAGGTGGATTCCACTGTCATGCTGCTGCTAATTCATTTATCCTCCAACTGAATAAGATTATTATTTTATAGGTCTGGCTACTGGTTAAGCTACTGTGATCCATAACAATGTATTTATAATAGTATTGTGGTTATGTTTTGCCTCATAATTTTTCCCTGTTTTCCATCTGTAATCAATCATAGGTGATTTGATTACATAGAAGTCAAAGCAGAACTGCAGTCGCTCAATCAGCATTGGCCATTTTTAATCCACATGCTGCTAATGATAGAATACTATAGTATATTTACTGGTCTAAAAAACTTTTTTTTTTTTACACATTTCTTCAGTCACGGTCTGGTTTCCATGCCTAGGCAAATGATGTCCTACATCCCAGGTGTTCTTCATGGGAAATGGGGATGGGGGGAGGGGGGAAGGTTGGGGGTGTCTCTCAGCTAAGCACACTCTCCTGCTTGCATGCCTGAGTTAAGGGCAAATGGACTCCAGAGAGTAAATTCATCTGCCCTTACTTAAATTGGCTGCTGCCTGAAATGCTAGGAGGGGTGTTTTTCAAAGTGATTTCTCAGCACAATAAAGCATGGAGGCATGGATGGATGCAGGAGTTCGATGTGAATATTAACAAAAAAAAAATATAATAAAGAAAAACTAAAAAATCAAAACGTGTTTTTGGTTTGTGCTGCTCAGAAGCACTGTAGTTCCGCTTTAATCTTTTGATAAAGTGGGGTCATTACCAAGGACAGTGGTGATCCATCCTTCTGACACAGTGCCCACATCGACTGCAGTGGTGAGAGCGTTTTGGTCTCATCAAGTTGCATTTGTTGCACAATTCCCAATAGTCTTTTTCTAGAAAACAAAATAAAAATTTTACATTTCTAAAAACAGGTTAAAAAAAAAAAAAAAAAAACATATAGGTCGACACCTGAATGCAGTTTGGTTAAATGTAATTTATTAAGGCAGCAAAACAGGAATTTACTCCCCATAACCCTAAGCCCTGGTTCACACCAACATGGTGTGGGAAACACAATTGCAATGTGGTGCGGGAAATGCACAGGATTCGCAGCATCACGTTCATGCGATCCAGTGCAGGTGTCAAAACACTATGTGATTGCCAGAAATCGCATCACATGGGTAAGAACACCCATGCAATACGATTCAGGTGCAGATTTAAGAGAAAAAAAAAAAAAAAAAAAGTCCTGCAACTTTTTGGTGCAAATGCGATTCGAGCCATACAAAGTGTATGGCTCAAATTGCACCACAAAGATATTTGCATGCAATTTGCACACAAATGTGATGCGATTCCTGTGCAAATTACATGCGGTGTCCTGCACCGCAGTGTGAACCGGCTGTAAGGCTTACAGAGTTGTTTGCAGAAAGGCATTTCCTTAGTTTAGTAGCCAGGTAACTCATGCATGACAAGCTGATGTCTAATGTCAGTACGCAGCTATAAGTACCAGATAAAGGTGTCTGACTCCCCCTTCAGTGATCTTCTGGCACTCTCCAATTACAGAAACTGTACTGAGGTCTTTAATAAAGAAATAATAGGGAGCGCTTGGTTGTGAATAGCTGCTAGCATTAAGGGAAAACCTCTCACCATCAAAATGAATAATTTATATAAAATGCATCGCTAAAATTAACATGAGGTGACTGACGTGAGCGCTGGATTGCGCAAACGTGATATAAAGATATACAGTGTATTGTCGTGAACTGACGTATGGATAAGTGAAACAATAAACAAATATATAAGTAAACTGGAACTGGTAATATGATTGCACTCACCAGAAGCGCATGTATATTATCCCTTGTGGTCATCTGGGTACAGGTAAGGATAGTGGAATTACCTGGTACACAGACAGCATACAAGGCAACTCCAGACCTCTGCGGCGTGATGTCAATACTAAAATAGTAGGGAGGAGCCTTGCCACATTGACGTCACGCCGCAGAGGCCGCATGGAAGGCCGGCGGCTATTTTGACTATTCCCAAGAGTGAGTGCTGACAGCTATTCATTGCTCTGTTTTACTCTGTTCCCGTTTCATTTAATAAAATACTACACTATTAGAACCTTATTGTTTCTGGCTTGTCAATAAACCTCCAAGGTGGAGATATCCAGATTTTCTGAGCTGTTTTATCCGGTGGTGTGGGGAATACCATGGAGCTATTGCTGGATGCTGAGAGGGTCCTGTGAGAAACATCTGGAGTTGCCTTGTATGCTGACTATCTGCCAGATGATTTCACTATCCTTACCTGTACCCAGATGACCACAAGGGATAATATATATACATGCGCTTTATTATTGCACTTCTGGTGAGTGCAAATCATATTACCAGTTCCAGTCACGGATTTCACTAGCACAGATTCCACAGATTTTTGGACTTTTATTTATATTGCTGATTATATGTCAATAATATTTTCCAAACACCAAAGTCACTATTTTACTTATATATTTATTTATTGTTTCACTTATCCATACGTCAGTTCACGACGATACACTGTATATCTCTATATCACTTATAGCACAATCAAGCGCTCACGTCAGACACCTCATGTTATTTTTAGCGCTGCATTTTATAGATTGAGTGCTTTGCTTTAATAAATATGGATATGAATAGAACAGACCTACACTACACTTATTTACAGTCTACTTAGCAATGTAACCATTGGTTATCAAGTCACTCAATTTGCAGTGTGCTGAAAAGAAGGGTGCTGCTAAGGAGAAGACTTCTAACAAACAATTAAATTGTTCAGTAGCTGAATATGAAAGAAAAAGAAAAAAAAAAAAAAAAAAAACACCTCAAAGCAGCTCAACCATTAGGTCCCTAATGAGAAAAATAACTAGTCTGGCTGTCTGTCAATGTCTTTTATAAAAGTAGAGAAATAGGAAACTTGATTTCACAAGCGGATTGGTTATAACACATTTTTCCACAACTTGGCAGTAGAATGAAAACCTCACTTGCATATTAAACGGTGTATATTAAAGAAAATAGAATGTACAGCATTTCCTTGTTACATGGAATGTTTTGAACCTACTGTCGAACATTATTTTGATAATTATACAGTTGTATTGAGCATAATAACAGAGTCAAACTCAACAGTTGCTATGGTGATAAAATTGATCAAACACAGCAGAACACCCACTTCTATCCAGTCTGCTTGCTTGTTTTGTAGTTCCTAGGAATGTGAACATGTCCATAGCATATTAGATTATTGTTCAAGCAACAAAGAATGGCTCACTATTCAGGTAACGTAGCAAAAGAAGAGGAAATTAAGGCTTGGCAGCACTGCATCTGTGTTTATACTAAAGCTGCAACTCTTACACTTGTATTCTCAGGTAATGCTTCACTGAACAGTTAAAAAAAAAAAAAAAAAAAAAAATGAGGAAGGTGGTGTATACACCAGACAACATAAATCAAACATTCCAATTTAAGTGTATATCAAACCAAAATTCAATTAAAAAAAAAAAGTATTATATATTCAATCCATGTACGTCTCCGCAATACATGCACATTTCCCCAATGTTTTATTCATGCAGCAAGTACAGAAAAATACCTGGTGATGTGCCAGAAATTCGGTGAGTTCCTAATTTCCTTTTATGGGCTGATAACCGCATCTGCTGCACTGAAATCCCAAGCAGTATTATAAGCCCTGCCCACGTTTTCCACTGCTGCACTGTCTCATGCCACATGCATACATTTATTTCATTACCAGGAAAACAAGGCTGCTGACTTGACTCCCAAAAGCCTACCTGCACATCGGGAGATGTAGTTCTGGAGGGAGTACCAATGTTAATAAGAACTGAGCTCCCAGCATCAGTCTTGTATTAAATTTACATGCTTGGTGATATTACAGGGAGCAGGAGCCAAGGTAAGGCCAAAAACCGATGAATAGGTAATTACCTTGGGATCTCTCATTTGCAGGTTTCTTTGTTAGCATACTGGCCTGTTTTGTGCAAACCACAGGTACTACAAGACAAGCAGTTAACATCCCTGAGATATGATAGCAGGCAGAACCTACCACAACAAACCATACATGTCAGTTCTGGCCAAAACAATGGATGGCCAATTCTGCTGCAGGTCAGAGCAACAGAGGTTGAAATGGAGATGCCTCTGGTTTCTTGATCTACTGTTTAAGTGTTTAGGCAGCTACACTTCATGAACTAGGCCAGGTGAAAAAATGCATGTTACTTACACTGACCTCCATGTACCTGAATTACTGACCTGATCTAAGTGACATCCAAATCCTATTGGCCTTTTCCTTGACTCTCCAAAAGTGTTGCCATAGAAACTGATGGAGACCTCTCTCATATCAGAATGACAAGATGGTCACAGGTCCCAAACATCATACCGGAGAATTTAAGAGACGTGTTAGGTACATGGTTCCCAGCTAGTATTTATTGTACATTAGAGGGTATTTCAGATGAGATTAGATGCAACTTAACCACTTCCAGACCGGACACTTTTACCCCCTTCCTGACCAGGGTAATTTTCAGCTTTCAGCGCTATCACACTTTGAATGAAAATTGCGCGGTCATGCAACACTGTACCCATATGAATTTTTTACCATTTTTTTGAGACAGATAAAGCTTTATTTTGGTGGTATTTATTCACCGCTGGGATTTTTATTTTTTTTGCTATGTAAATGGAAAAGTCCCAAAATTTTGAAAAAAAGCGTTTTTTTTATAAAAATTTTGCAAATAAATAATATTCCATCATAAATCTTGGCCACAATTTATTCCATTATCTTTTTAGTAAAAAAAAAAAAAATCCAAATTAGTTTATAACCAAAAATTATCATTTTTAAACATTTTTTTTTACATTTTTATTTTTTATTTATTTTTTTTACATACTGTCACCCTAGCAGTACAGTGTCACCATGGTGACACTGTACTACTTGTGGGGGGGTGATGAAGATTTTTTTTTTTTTTTTTTTTACACCGATTGCTTTTACATCCTATATGGGTATAAAAGCAATCATTTCTCTTTCTCTCTGTCTGCATTCTTGCACTCATTGAGAAGTACTGAGTGAGCTGTGATTGGTCACAGCTTGTCACATTATACAAGGCTGTTGTGAATAGCCTTGTACCATGTGACCTCTGTGATCATTCACAGATTTCACACGTAGTAAGCAATGATGTCACAAGTGACATCTTGCTTACTACTTTGCATGTGATCACTGATTGGCCAATCAGTGATCACATGATCGGGACCTCGTACAGAGGTCCCGTCCGACGATCGGTGTTTCACTGTGTCCGGAGGACACAGCGGGCACCGGATCGCGGTGCTGCGCGCTCCCATTGAGCGCGCACAAGCAGGGTGCGGGGAGGACGTTTATAAACAGCCACCCGACCCTGCAGTGCCACCGTCCGGCCGTTTATATGCAACGGCCAGTCGGGAAGTGGTTAAGCTACATAAAGTCAACAAAAAACAGTAACACATTTTTGCAATCACTAAATATGTGAAATAGTCAAACATTCGTAGTTATATAAAAAGTTAGGGGTATACAACCTAAGGGGACTTGCTCCAGGGGGTACTCTGTGTTCAATTTTTTTTTTAATGGGTATATATTGAGAAAAAAAAGAAGGCTGTTAGATTACATTATCTAGTATTCATTTTGCCTGGTGCGGTCATATAACATGTGCAGGGTATTTGTTTGCCCAGCTCACAGCAAAAAGCCAGCTCTCGCAGAAAATCTCATTTTACAGCTCACCTCTGAGGGGGATTTTAGGACACTCTAGTAATTTGCCAGGGTCCGCGGTGGATGCTCTTAAAAGCGAGACCACACAAAATAAGGAGGCACCGTAGTAAGCTGAAAAACAAAGCATAAAATTAATTTTACATCATCATTATTAAATATAAAACACCAGAGTATTCACAGTTTTTCTATATTATCTTACTAGGTGAATGAAGATGTCTTTTAAAAGGAGTAGTAAACCACTGCTTTTCATACTAGCACATTATGAAACACTTACCTTGGAATGAAGCCCTCCAGCAGCGCACTGTTACCACTGACAGGACTTCCATCTTCCCCTGGTCTTTCTTCCCAGGTTTGCTGGCTCCAGTCCTTGGAATAGCTGAGCCGCGATGATGTCATTCCGTGCATACGCACAGAAGACGCTGTTTATAGCACACAGCTCTGAAGGGACGACACGAGTGCCGTCCCTCCAGAGTGCACGTGCAGGTGATGTCACCAGCTGCATCCAGTGTGAATATTGCCTAAACAGAGTTCTGTGAATAATTGAACTACAAGTCCTTTGTTCCACTTCAACAGATGGCTTGTAGTTCTCAATGACCTGAGAGGGTGAATGTGAGTGTCCTCATAGTTCATGGATTCATCCTGCTCTTCGACAGCTGTCTGCCCAGAAGGTATGGGCAGACAACTCGACTGAGAGCCTGCATGATCCTCACTTTGCACATTGCAGATCATAAGTGCAATGCTCTGCAGGTTCCTAAGAAAGAAAAAAATATATATATATATGCACAAAAGTGCACCTAACCCTTAACAGACTGTCAGTGTACCACAGCACCACAGCCCATTTTGTTTGCTTTACACATGTAAACCACAGCATCTGTTTTGATAATTTTATGGCTTTAAAGTGAACCTGTGCTTTGCCAACGCAGGATAAAAACAAAACAAAAAAAACCCAAAAGGTTCACGTTAATGTTACCACTATAGTAAACTTCCCTTTGCTCCCTTAACGGGAACCTTGGATTGAAAGGTTTGCCCTCTCCACTCATAGATTCTGTTTCATTCATGGAAGCTATAGTACTAGCTTCAATAAATGGAGAGCAGGGCAGGAAGGACAGGCGTAGTCGGGCGCTCTTGATGAGTTCCTGTCAGAGCTCTCTCGGTTCTACTAACGCTCACTGCACGATTACAGCAGGAAGGGTGGGCATAGGGACATCGCAGGGGGAAGATTTCTGTTAAACCAGGAAACAACAGCACAATGGACATGTTACATTAAAGGTGAGCAATATCTCTTGTGCTGATTTTTTTTCAAAGTAAACTTAGGGGGAGATTTACTAAAACTGGTGCAGATAGAATCTGGTGTAGCTGTGCATAGAATCAGCTTCTAACTTCAGATTGTTCAATTAAGCTTTGACAATAAAACCTAGAGGTTTTTATGCAAAGCTGCACCAGATTCTGTGTGCATCAACTCTTAGATTGTAAGCTCCAAGGAGCAGGGCCCTCCTAACCATCTTGTATTGAACTGTATTGTTGCTGTATTGTCTCCCGTTATATTGTAAAGTGCTGAGCAAACCGTTGGCGCTATATAAATCCTGTGTAATAATCATAATTTTTAGTAAGTCACCCCCAAAGTCTTTAAGAAAACTACATAAAAGCAGTGTTAGTGCTCGTAATAGACTGCATTCCATAGATCATTTATATTTTGCTCATTTTTCCACACTAACAATTTAAGCAATTAGATTATTTCTGCTGATTGCATTGTGATATTGAACAAAAAATAGCTTTTCAATAGAAATGGAAAACAATGACTATAATCTTGACCATGCAAGTGATATTCTTTTAAATCATAAGATTTTTTTTCTGATAAAATAGACTACAAAAATAAAACAAAAATACAAGACAAACAACAGTCTGGTAATTTTGCTGAGGAACTGTAAAAAAAAAAAAAAAATTTGAACTGTAGTTTTACATACAACTAGCACATGAACCTGAATGTGCAGTGGTACGTGAATGCCTAGGTTAACGTAATTTTCGGTCTACGAATGAAAATAATGCCTCAGTTTACAAATGTATTACTAATTTTTTTTCACAATACGAAGTGTATGTCAGTGCTGATTTTTTAATGCAATTGGATTTTTTTTTTTTTTGTTTTTCACTATAGCTCACAAGATTAGCTGTTACTTTCCCCGAAGTTACAGAAAACTTTGTTTCTTTTAAGAAACTAAAAGGAAACACGGTTTCTTTTAACTTGGGGAAATAAACTAAAAGAAAACTCTCTCTTTTAGCTGGGGGAAGTGAAAGCTGAATTACATTTAAAAACCAGCACCATCCCCCTCCCATGCATACCAAGTCCTTCGGGTCTGGTACAGATTTTGAGGGGAACTCCCACACCAAAATTGAAAGAAAAAAAAAAAAAATTGTGTGGGGGTTCCCCCCCCAAAATCCATAACAGGCCCTTATCCAAGCATGCAGCCCGGCAGGTCAGGAAAGGGGGGCAGGGGAAGACAAGCTAGCACCCTCCCCTCCTCCTGAAAATACCAGGCCACATGCCCTCTACATGGGCCTCTTCCCCACAAACCTGGCCGGTGGTTGTGGGGGGTCTACGGGCAGGGGGCTTATTAGAATCTGTAAGCCTCTTTAACAAGGGCCCCCCACCACCTATGTGAATATGGGGTACATGGTACCGCTACTCAGTCACAAAAAAAGTAGCGTGGAAAAAAAAAAAAAAAAAAAAAAAAAAAAAGAAGGACAGGAACCAGTCTTCGACAAGGCCTTTATTAAAAGAAAAATCTAAAAGAATGTCCCCTGCAGTAGATACGTCAATCACGATGCCCTCCGCCGCTGCCGACCCGAAAAGGAAAAAAAAAAAAAAAAAAAAAAGTTCAGTTACCAACAATGGCTGCCAGCCCTCTGCCTATGAGCTGGCTTGACAGTTCTTAAATATGTAAGGGGCGGGGCCACCCAGGGACATCAGGCATGTGACCGTACCCCATGTGACATCAATGATGTGACATGGGGAAGGGTGACTCGGGTGATGTCACTGGGTGACTTCGCCCCTTACCTATTTAAGAACTGTCAAACCACCGGAGCAGGCAGAAGACTGGAAGCCATCGTCTGAAGTGTTGGTTTTTTTTTTTTTTGTTGTTTTTTTTTTAAATTTAATTCTTTTTTCAGGTCGGTGGCAGCGGTGGTGACGGCGGCCATCTTGATTGACGTTGGATCTACTGCTGGGGATATTCTTTTAGTTTTTTTGTCTGATAAAGGACTTGTCAAAAACAGTGTCCTGTCTTTTGTCACACTACACAGTTTGTTTTTGTGAATGAGTAGCGGGACCATGTACCCCATACTCATTCACATAGGGAGGGGGTGCGGGATCTGTCAACTACAGCCAGTGAGGAAAGGGCAGGGAAGAGCCCTGACTGTGTGTCTTATGGACATAGAGCCAGGCTCGGGAGCGAGCACGCACCAGTGGCCGCATAGCAAGAGGCTTGCTATTGGGAGCACTGGTCAAGGGGGAGTAGCCAGGAGCGTCAGCAGGGTACCTGAGAAGAGGATCAGGGCTACTCAGTGCAAAACAACTGCACAGAGCAGGTAAGTATGACATTTTTTTTTTTTTTTTTTTTTAAAACTGCTGAACCTTTAATATCACTTTAAACTGGCTACCTAGCCTCCCACTTATGTAATATTAAGGAGAGGGCTAGGAAATTATGTTTACCCTAATTAACCCTTCCTGTACTATGTTGGTAGACCTCATTACCAGTTGTAAACTGGAGTTGAACACAGTCCTCACAAAAAGGTTAAAGATCCTGAGGATTAGATTCAGTACGGTATGATGAGGGGAAACTCAGTATGTCCCCACTTTTCCCCCCTCTGAAATTGATTAGATCAGCTTGCAGGTCTGAATAATCCTGCTCCAAAAGAAACAACTAGAAAAAGGTAAGAAAGGTTTCTGAATGTATTTTATATTAGGTATATTGTGTGCATTGGAAAACAGAGGGGGGGTTTCCCAGTTTGGCTGCAAAAATGGACATATACTTTAAGACTGGTCAAGTCTGCTTTAGAACAGGCACTGCATGATTGGAACTGCCCCAGTTCAAGTAATTCTGGGAATCAGTCATCAAGAAAAACAAACAATCTAAAGAAAATAAGTGACATGGCAGTGGCCTAATTGTGCAGTGGTGTGAAGTAACTGTATTCTGAAAAGGAAAGGTCCTTATTTAAGAGAACAGCTTTGTGCCATGTCCCAAGAAAAGAAAAAAAAATATATATGCCTGAAACACACAGAAGAAAGCTGGAAATAAAACAAGGGAATGCATGTTATTTATTTAGAATTCACTGTTCGAACTAATAGGGCAAATAAAAATACTTGACCTGCATGGATATTTGTTACAGTGAGGAACACCCTGCGATTTTGCAAGTTCTCCCACTTAGAAATCATGGAGGGGTCTGAAATTCACATTGTAGGTGCATTTCCACTCTGAGAGACAGAATTTAAAAAAAAAATTCAGAAAATCACATTGTATGGATTTTTAAAGAATGTATTTGTCTTGCACTGCTGAAGTATTTGAACACCTAAGAAACAGCAGGAATTCTGGCTCTCAAAGACCTGTTACTGTGCCTTTAAAAAGTCCACCTCTACTTCACTCATTAATTTAACTTAGTAGCACCTGTCTGAGCTCTTTAAAGACACCTGTCCACCCCACAGTCAGACACCGACTACTACCATGGGCAAGACCAAAGAGCTGTCAAAAGACACCAGAGACAAAATTGTGGACCTCCATAAGCCTGGAAAGGGCTACGGGGGCAATTGCCAAGCAGCTTGGTGAAAATAGATCAACTGTTGGAGCAATTGTTAGAAAATGGAAGAGGCTAAAGACGACTGTCAGTCTCCCTCGGACTGGGGCTCCATGCAAGATTTCACCTCGTGGAGTATCACTGATGATAAGAAAGGTGAGGAATCAGCCCAGAACTACAAGGGAGGAGATGGTCAATGACATGAAGAGAGCTGGGACCACAGTTTCAAAGGTCACGGTCGGTAGAACACTACGTCGTCATGGTTTCAAATCATGCATTGCACGGAAGGTTCCCCTGCTCAAGTCATCACATGTCCAGGCCCGTCT